AAAAAAAAGAGATCATATATTTATTTTTCTAAATAAACGAAGCACCAAACAGTAGTGTTGACAAAATTTACTAAAATTGAACAAAAGAAAATATGGACAGATTTCAACTGTTTGTTCAAATTAGTGCATCATGGTCTGTGACTCTGTGGACTGAAGATGTAAACATCCACACACTTTAACCTCATCTAAAGTACTGCATAATGAAGTGATTATGACCTCTCTTAAACCTCCCAAATCCCTATCAATTCACAAAATAAACCAATTATATCTGCTTTCAACGAAAAATTGAAAGAAACAAAAATGTATTAATCTCGAGCAAAATTATGCCATTCACCATAACAGAATTCAACAGAATCAGCTAAAACCAACAGTAAAATTAGAGAGAGAGGAAAACGATTTACCAAATTCTGATTAGCAGCAATGGCGGAAACAAGCTTAGCAGCGCCGTCGCCGAACGAATTCCCGACATCCCTCACCCTCTTCCCGGCGCCGTGCTCCGTCACCGCTGAATCCTCCATCAGGACTCCGTCGAGGCCGCGCATTCTGAGGCCCAATCTCCCGCCGCCGGTCGGAATGGACAGTAGCCCGGCGAGGCTATAGGAAGTCGGATTGGCGGTGGCGGTGAAGGAAGCCTCGCTGACCAACGGCGGATCCATTGTCGTCGAATCTCAGGGGAGGATTGTGTGTATTGTATTGATTGATTGTTAGGTATGAGAGAGAGAATGTGGGAAGAACTGTGGAATGTCCGATGAAGGATTGAGGGGGTTATAAAGAGGCGAGAGCCATGACCAGAAGAGAGAGTGAAAGCGCAGTACAGAGGAGAGAGAAAGTGTGTGTGATGTGAGGTAGATGAGGGGATAGAGGGACCTCACAGAGTCACAATACGCCAGGAGGCGTACGTTAGCCTGCGTCGCCATTTCACTTTCATGCGTACTCTCTCTCTCTCTCTCTTTAACCTTTTTACTTTTTGGCCATTTTGCAGTACCTTCGCTTTGAACGGTAAAATTTTATTTGGCAACAAGTGAATGGATCTTTCTCTCACCCATCATTACAAATTTCTTTGGATCTATATATATTTTTTAACAAAACTGTATATTAAAATGTCATATTTGATTTATCACATTTTTTAAAATATCATATTTCAATTTATAATTACGCATATCATCACAACTTCTTTTAACGGGTTGTGTCGATCGATTTATCATATATTTTCACAAAAATTCATACTGAAATGTCATATTATGCTAGGTTGGTTTTGTGTTAAACGATCTAAACAGTAGCCCATCACTCTTTCTACACATATACATACTCTCATTAGAAATTGTCAATACTTTAAAAATTAACATAGATAGAAATATGACAATTTATTCAGGCATTTTTGGTAAAATAGTATGAGGGGTCGATCCGCCTAACTGTTAGGTTGTCTCACACAAAAAAAATGATTTTATTTATGTCTAATTTTAGAGTATGATACTTTAATTTACATCTCAAATTTTTTCAAATCCGTCTCACTATTATGCGGGTTGACTCAATATACAATTTTAACAAAAATGCATATAAATATTATGTTTTTTCATGTCGTTTTTTAGTGATACTTCAATTTATAAATATGCATGTTTATTGAGAAAGTATGATGAAGTAATCACTCGTCTCATAGCCTTATTGGCTCGTCATTTCTTCCTTAAAAAAAAAAATCTTGCATCTCTTTCCAAAATAATTTGAATTGCAGTCATAGTGGACACACAAATTTTTTTTGAAAAATGCTACAAGTACATAATAAATGTACATAGAGGTGTACATAACACTCACATAGAGTGAAGTCCACTTAATTTTTTTATTTTTGGTAAAACTCACTTAATGTGGGTGTTATGTACACCTATATGTATAATGTTATGTAACTATAGCATTTCTCAAAAGTTTTTGCTCGACTTTTGATTTTGAACTACTATATAATATTTTATTTTATTGTGGACTTTCTGATTTTCAACTACTCCTTAGTATCTTGTTTTATTGTGTGGACGTGTGATTCTTATTTTTGGTGCTTCTTTCTATAAAGGTCACACCTTCTCAAAACTTTGTAGGGAGTTTGTGTGTAAATTGTAATGTATTCGTTCCTCTGTTGTTTCTACCATGTGCTTTATTAGACAGTCTTTGTTAATGATGGTGTACTCATTGCTACTTATAGATAACATATAGTACAAAAATATAAATATTAGTGAAATAAATTAGAATTTTTTTATCTTTCCCCTACCATTTGTAGTTGTGTTGGCCAATAAATTGTAATTAAATTTCCAACTTTTGTGCAACATTTTCCTAACATTACTAAATAAGACTTCCATCTAACACTATTTCATAAGACCAACTTCATAATTAGTCCCTTCTTCATATAATTAATTCAACCAAATATTTATCCAATTAACTCCGCAAAATCAAATATTTCAAACACAAGAAGCTTCATTGTCTTATAAGACGATCTAATCATCAGCAAGTAGACTCGTCATATCATTTTAATTAAAATACATATATGTGATATGAAACGTCATACTTTTGTTTGTTTATGTTATATGCTTAAAAATGTGATTGTTGAATGTTAGGTTTGAGGCTAACTATTTGTTTTGTCTTTTTTTTTTTTCAAATTATTATTTTCTAAAAAAATTTCAGATTAAAACTCAATATTTGCGTAGGCAAATAAGGACCAATGACTAACCTTTTGGCCTTTGTTGCCCCAAAGAACAGCTGCATTTTCAGACACATTCGCTAAGCTTCAAATCGTACTATGTCTTATTACTTGCACCAGAAAAACGAATCTATATGATGTTTGCAATATAAGTTCAAATCTTTTGGAAGAAAATAAAATTAACTCATGAATATAAATCAATTTTTCTTGTAAAAGCAACCTGCAGTCATAAGTAAAGAAGTATACGGAAAATAAAAACTTCATGTAGAAGCAAAAATGTAGTGCCAAAAGGAAATGATTTATTTAGGGTACATTTTTCGTTCTCTTTATAAATTCAACTTAATTATTATTGCTTAAGACTCAAATTCATTAACTTATCTTACTCTATTGCTTCATTTTTTAGTTGAAAAAAAAAATAGAAATAAAAAATAATAAATGAAACTTATAGTCATATATACTACACCTTGTGGACCTCTGCCAACTATTATACCGAACATCAATTTAATTTTAGAATAAATAGGAAAAATAGAATATTAAATGTGGAAATTAAATTATAATAAGGCTAATGAAGCCTTCATGACTGGTATTTGTCCCTCTCGCTAACAGCGCCAATTAACTTAGTTGGTGGCGCATTTTAGCAGTGGTCACTTTTGTTTGGCAACATAGAAAAGGCAGTCCCACTGCACCACCGTCGATCTCAGAAAGCATCAGATAGATCAACGGCTCAGATTTGTCTACATGTTAATATAAATATAAGTATACTATACACTCTATGTGTGTGTGACTACAAAATCACAAATTTTTAATAATGATGCAATTGACTTAATATGTAAATATATCGACATGCATGATATTAATTTATCAAAATATTCATACATTATACGAATATAATTAAAAAAAATACAAGATCTTAATATGTAATGTATATTAAATTAAACTTAAAAACACTACTCAATATGCTCGTATGTCAGAATTTTCGTCCTACAAAATTCATGTTTACATTATCTAATTTAAAGTGNTAAAAAAAAAAAAAAAAAAAAAAAAAAAACATAGATTAGGCTTAGGATACTTATCCATCCACCAAATTGGTGGATCAACTTATTTAATGATAATGAGGTGAACGGCTTAAATTCCCAAAACACACATGAATTAGTGAAAAGGCTAAAAGCCCATGCAGATAGGCTTATCCATTAATCCGTAGGCTAATTTGTTGTTTGAATCTACTTGTTTTAGTAATATTTGATTACTTTACTTTTAATACCTATTATTTTAGGTTGTTTTAATTAGAGTATGAAAGAGAAGTGATTTTGTACAAATGGTTTGGACCCTTTCTCACAATCTTTTATTTTTCGCTTTCTTTTTCCATTTTTGTGTAGCTTTTTAAGATAGTTATTAGCTCTACCTCAACCTAAACACTCCCTAATAGAGAAAACGACAATATGTTCCGCTGAAATCTTTTTTAGAGACGGACCTAAAGATTTGGAAGTGTTATATGTACATTAAGACTCGTAATTTTATTTGGAATTGAGAATTTTAATTCTCCAAATCCTAAATTTTGTTACAATATTTCTTTTAGATGAAATANAGGATAGGAAGACAAGCAACTTTTATTAATAATAGGATAGCAAGACAAGCAACTTTTATTAACAGTAAGAAGGAAAACGCTTGTTGTTAAGAATTAAGGTCCTACATATGTGCTTAAAAAATAATATTTATATTATGGAAATATAATATAAGTGTTTATATTATAATTTTGAATTTGACATTTGAATATGTTTGTACAGATGAATACAAGAATTAGTGTATATATATTCTTAGAATATATTACTTTTGAGTAATTGTCTCATATTAATATGATTCTAGTTTAGCGAGTTATCCTTTCCATCCTCAATTGATTTTGTGCTGGAACTTCACTCATGTAGCAATTAGATTCACCTTCTAAAAAATGCCTTCCAGTATCACTATACAACGTCATCTCTCCCTCAAGTATATAAATCTAATATGATATTAAATACAACTAATCTAGGACCTGTAATGACTTAATTAATCGAGCTTATTCTAGAAGTGTTCTAAGACATGTATAGTGACTTAATTAATTTAGTCACAAGTGAGTGGATATATTAGATCGAATTAATGTCACTTGACAGACCAATTAGCTTTATTTGGACTAATCTAGGACATGTAATGGCTTAATTAATCGGGCATAACGCGTTAGAATATCACTTGAACGACCAATTGATTTTGGGATGGAATGTTGTTACCATTGTGGACCGCATTTTCTTTCCCCCGAATATATAAATTTAATATATATATATATAGCTTAATTTTAATTTTATCCTCATTATCCTTGGGTGTCGTAATTATAACTCTTAAACAAAATGAGCCGTTCGTTAGCTCAAACGAGCCGAACTCGAGCTCGCTTAATACTTGTTTCGTTCCTGGCTCATTAAGCCTCGAAAAGAAATTTTTTATATAATTTTTTATAGTTCGCCTCATTAAAGCTCTATATCGACTCGTTAATCTTCATAATCGAGCTGAGTTGGAGCTCGATTTTTGGCTCTTTTATTACTCTGAGTTCGAGCTTAGCTTGGTTTGTTTAGAACCCTTCACAATATCCTTTTCCCCACCTCGCCTAACTTGCCTAGCTCACTGATAAAACTCCTTTAATCTCTAATCAAACAATGGTAGTGCTTAAAGAAAGTCCATTATCAGGCAAGCCAAAAATGGAAGCTCCATTATGAACCTCTCATTGCTTCAGAACCTATCTTTGATACCAAATTTGTACTTGATACCTCCTATTTCTATGTTATCTGTTGCAAGCTAATTTAAGTCGCATATATTCACTGCCAAAGAACAACAATAAAAGACTTGTCAAAAAGCGTACAAGGAGTGATTCCTCATTAAGCTCAATAGAGTCTTGGCCTACATTGCGATTTGCGACTACAACACAATGGATTTATATTAATAAAATTCATTAATGTGTTGTTACTTAAGAAAAATACAAAATTGACCCGATTTTATTAGCATGAAAGCGTTATTTATGCATAGATTAAGCATTTCAATACTAAGATATATATTAAAATAAGATAGAAGAATTTATTTGTTGAGTAACTATTATATCATGCACTCATAAGTTTACAAGTTAATTAGTTTTACCAAATATATGTCATTTTATAAAATTGTTCTCTGTAATGTAGTCAAACTATTTGCACACAATAACTGCCAAACAAGATCAATTAAACGCCTAGTTTATCAAAAAGGGAAGAGAAAAAAGTAGGTATTAAAT